TCGTCAACAGAGGGGCCGAGGTTCAGTATGAGAACCTCTCTCCTGATGAGAAGAAGAATTTCGACGCGTCAGCCGCTGCCGAATGGAGTGCGATAGCCGAGGGAACCAAGGCGGCCATTGTTCACCCCCCGGACAAAACGAATATTATGAGGGAACTGTTTCCAAGTCGTATAGCGCCCAGTAAGATGGTGAGGGGGTGGAAAACACCAGAGGGGACCCACTCTAAACACAAGGCGAAAACGCGATGGCGTCGTCGGGGGCACCAGGACAAAGACACCGCCGAGCTTCAGGTGTACGCTCCCACCCCTTGTATGACGTCCCCTAGGGTTTTTTTCTGGTCATTGCGCTGATGTGCCAGCTCGTTACATGCATCGGAGGCATCAAAAAATGCCTTCTGCCAATCCGAACCTCTTAAGAGAGCGCGAGGCCGAGTCGGCGTGGAACCGCGCGACGGAGTCCCGGTGCCGCTGGGGTCTCTCATCGAGCTGATCGCGCCCGCGCGCGGCTCAGATGGCGCGCCGCCGGCATTCCGCCGGACCACTGCGAACTACATGGAGTCCCAGGGTTTCGAGCGGACCCGCCTGGGGCCCCGCTGGTTCGATCAAGGGTTCTCAGGAAAACTCAAAGCTCAGGTGCTCGTGGAAGTCGACGATTGGGCCATAGCCTTCCAGGAGGGAAGAGAGAAAGACTACCTGGAGCCCTTCCAGAAACGATTCGTCTTTGGAAACATGAAACGCCTGGGCGCCGCGGGAGACGATTGTATTGGAAGGAGATTCATAACGGTGGGAGATCGAATCCTAGCGGGTCAAGAAAATACATCATGGAACAATTTTAGACGATTCCTCTGGCCCAGGGACGCAGGGGAAACCGTGGTGCTCCTCTCGCGGGGGGGGGGGGGGGGGGCGGCTTTCCGGCCCTTGGTTTACAAGGTCCAGCGGGGGGGGCGAGAGACCCGGGCCGAGGCCGCAGGGGCGGCTGCAGTTTTGGCCACGACGGTCAGCGGACCAAGTGTGAAAGACCTTCTGGAGGCCAACAACGAGATGGTCGATCATTTAAGGTCGACGGCCTCCATTCTCATCGCGGTCTGGCGTTTTAAGCCAGACGGCTTTGCGCTGGCCACCGGCGGCGACTGGGGGGGGGGCTGGGGCGGAAGATAAAGGAGGACATCAGCACCTCCAGGAGGCCTGGCAAGTCTACGTAGCCTACAGTTCCCTGGCTCACGGTTCGAGGCCCAGAGTGGCTCCCGTGGCCTGGAGATCCGGCAAGTTGAAGAGACAAGTCGCCTCTACTTTGGCCGGGGGGACGCTTGCATTGTCGAGCGCCTTAGGAGAAGCGGAGTGGTTCCAGATTCTCCTGCTGGACGTCACCTGAGGGGACGCGGTGAACGAAAGGTGGCGGGGAAACCTGGGACCATTCGTGCCGCGTTTTAGGTGAGCGCGGTGGACGCCAATGGGATCTACGACGTGCTATACAAGCTCACGTCGGGGACCAAATCAGATCGTCGAGCCGCGATCGGTCTGGCCGACATCCGAGGGACCATGGAACGGATCGGAGTTTCCATAGGATGGACGCCACATCTTTTTATGCCAGTAGATTGTCTCACGAAATCGGATCTGGCCAAGACCAACGCGGCACAGCTTCACCTTCTCAAGTCAGGGATGCTGCGACTCACAGCCGAGAGCCAGTCGGTCCAGGCCCGAAAGGAGGACCCCGCCTCGAGAAATCGGCCACGGGCCGCTTCGACAAGGCAACTGGAATGAGCGTGCCCTGTCTCTGTTTCTCCCTCTTTCCTTTTGCGCCCTCCTTTTCTTTTCTGCCAGCCACGGTACCCGAAGCAGAGAGGTGGCGCACCCTTTCAGTCGTGTCGTTTGCGCGCTGTGATTTAACGCTCGCTCGTGCCGGCGAACGCTCCTCAGGAGAACGCCAGGAGGCCAGAGCATGCGCAGAAAGTATTTGCTTTGACAGCGAGAATCCTTGACAGTGCCCGGACAGTCGGGCTCAATGCTGACCCCCCTTTCCCTCTTTCCGCAAGAGGGCGAAGCGATTGTTCGTGCGCACTTTCTCCTGCGTTCAGTCCCCTTTTGTCGGAGAGCTGTGGGAGTGAGCGCCTCCGGCTCAGTGATCTGGACAGCCCCCTTTTGGACTGAAGCAGCATAGCAGGGAGTTGAGTGCTGGCGCAATCACTTTGTCTCAAGACTCAACGCCGTTTCTCGCCCAGTCGTTGACAATCCCGAGACCTCCCCAATCCACCCGATGTCCCATTCCCGATTTCCCAAAAGTTCTCTTCCCGTACTGTGCGGACAATTGCTGTGAAATCTTGGTGCGACTAGAGGCGAGGACATCCTGTCATCCTTCGATTCCGTCGGTCGGGGAACAATTGACGCACACACCGTTTCATGAAACAATCCCCCCTTGATGGACCCCCTGGGGCCCTTCCTATCACAGTGCTCGATCTTAGACCCCCAGACACATTCAAAGTTTGGCTCAAGACGCATGGCGTTGGTTGCCGGGGGCCGCCCTCGGGGAGGCGCGCTTCCAGTGCGTGCGCTGCTGCTCGCCGCATGGGCGGCGGCACCATGCAGAGCAGCTGTCCCGCAGGCGGCTGTGCCGGCGGCGCCGCAGGGGAAGGCGCGCGGCGGCACACCCGCCACTGCAACCGAGGCGGCCTCGCCAGCTGCGCCGCAGGTTCGGGGAAACGCAAGACTCGAGCACGGTAGGTTCGCGTTGTGTCGACCCTCGTCGACCCCGCCTCGGGCGTTCAAGGTTGAACGCCGCCAGTAGCCCAGAATTGACCAGCATGAAACGATTGGGCGATCGAAGAGCCGCCGATCGTTCAAGGTTGAACGATCCACGCGGTGTCAGAAAACAACGCTGGGGTCGTCACGATACGAGCCTGCCGTAAGCCAGAACTCGGGTCTGCTGACGTTTTTTTACGTCATTTTTTAGGATGGCCCCGTGAGACCAACCCGAGTCCCCCAGACCCGAGTCTTACGTCTCCCCGACAGGTGGCACCCGCCACAGCAGCTGCCCTGGATGCGGCTGCGCCGGCGGCGCCAGAGAGGAAGGCGCGCGGCGGCACCCCCTCGACTGTCACGATTGAGGGCATCTTCACGGCGACCACGGCCTCGCTCTCGACGGCCAGAGCGCTTCCGTCGGCCGGGCCCGCGACGGCGGCTGCGAGAACGGCTGGGCCGCTGGACCGGAGGCTTACCCTTGACAACTACAGCGACGGCTACTCCTTCCTGCCCGCCGGCATGACCTGCGAAGAGGTCGGGCTCCCCGACGTAGCGAGCTCGGATGAATGCGAGGCCGCGATGGCTACAGCAGGTCTGTCGGTTTCGTTCACTCCAATTCCCGCAAACCTAGGTTTCAGCTGTGTCTACAACACAGACTGGGATGTTGTTCTCTATTCCCAGTCCACCGGCTCTCAGACACAGCCGAACGCGGATTACAGGTACCTTTGCCCAGGCATTTACACGAGCACAGTTTCCTCCTCAACGACCGAGACCGTGACGGCTGGGCCCGGCTTTTCGCTTCTGCCATTGGGCTGGACGTGCCCAGACGTAGGGTTGCCGGACATCCCGAGCCAAGATTATTGCTTCAGCACCGCGGCACCTGAGCTCGGTGTGACTTCTGACAATGAGATCTTCGTCGCGGGCAGCGCGTCCGGTCTCAGCTGCGTCCACGACGTCAAGCTTAACATCCTGTATTTCGGCGAAGCGACGGGCAGCGAGACCGAGGGTGATCCAAACTACCAATTCATTTGCCTCGGGCAATACACGACTACGGAAACGTCCACTGGGACCTCGACCACCACTTCGAGCACAACTAGCGGGACCTCTAGCACGACGCGGTCGACAACCACGGCAAGTTCAAGCTCTACCATTTCTACAACTATGAGTACATTGTCACAAAGTTCCAGCACCACTGTGAGTTCAAGCGCAACCATGTCCACGACTTCTGGGAGTTCTAGCCTGACTGTGAGCACAACTAGTGAAAGCTCTAGCACGACATGGTCTACAACTACGGCGAGTTCAAGTACAAGCGTTTCCACAAGCGTGAGTACAACTAGCAGGAGCTCTAGCACGACAGTGACTACCACTGAGAGTTCAACAACAACTGCGAGTTTCAGTACAAGTGTGAGTATAACCAGCGGGAGTTCCAGCACGACCGTGTCAGCCACCTCTGAGAGCTCCAGCACGACGGTCTCAGCGACGACAGGGAGTTCTTCCACGACCTCTGGGAGTTCCAGCACTACTAAATCAACGACGACTGAGAGTTCCAGCACTACCGTGTCCACAACCAGCGAGAGTTCTAGCACCTCCACGCTGAGCAGTAGGACCGAGACCAGTACCGCGTCGCAGACGACCACAAGTGAAACGCGCAGCACGACGAGGACCACGTCGACGAGCAGCGCGACAGGGACGAGCACCTCCACGCTGAGCAGTACGACCGAGACCAGTACCACGTCGCAGACCAGCACGTCGGTGAGCAACACCAGCACCACCAGCACCTCCACTCGCAGCAGCACCAGCGCCACCAGCAGCACCACTGTGACCAGCACGTCAGTGAGCAGCACGACCCGCAGCAGCACCACTGCTAGCAGCACCACTCGCAGCAGCACCAGCGCCACCAGCAGCATGACGCTGACAACCGTGTCGGGAACTAGCAGCACCACTGGCAGCAGCACCAGTGCCACCAGTAGCAATACTGTGACCACCACTCGCAGCAGCACCAGCGCCACCAGCACTTCCACTCTTAGCAGCACCAGCGCCACCAGCAGCACCACTGTGACCAGCACGTCGACGAGCAGCACGACAGGGACCAGCACCTCCACGCTGAGCAGTACGACCGAGACCAGTACCACGTCGCAGACGACCACAAGCGAAACAAGCATTACGACGAGGACCACGTCGACGAGCAGCGCGACAGGGACAAGCACCTCCACGCTGAGCAGTACGACCGAGACCAGTACCACGTCGCAGACCAGCACGTCGGTGAGCAACACCAGCGCCACCAGCACTTCCACTCTTAGCAGCACCAGCGCCACCAGCAGCACCACTGTGACCAGCACGTCGGTGAGCAGCACCACTGGCAGCAGCACCAGCGCCACCAGCAGCACTACTGTGACAACCACGCGCAGCAGCACCAGCGCCACCAGCACTTCCACTCTTAGCAGCACCAGCGCCACCAGCAGCACCACTGTGACCAGCACGTCGAGGAGCAGCACGACAGGGACCAGCACATCCACGCTGTTCAGTACGACCGAGACCAGTACCGCGTCGCAGACGACCACAAGTGAAACAAGCAGCACGACGAGAACCACGTCGACGAGCAGCGCGACAGGGACGAGCACCTCCACGCTGAGCAGTACGACCGAGACCAGTACCACGTCGCAGACCAGCACGTCGGTGAGCAACACCAGCGCCACCAGCACTTCCACTCTTACCAGCACCAGCGCCACCAGCAGCACCATTGTGACCAGCACGTCAGTGAGCAGCACGACCCGCAGCAGCACCACTGCTAGCAGCACCACTCGCAGCAGCACCAGCGCCACCAGCAGCATGACGCTGACAACCGTGTCGGGAACTAGCAGCACCACTGACAGCAGCACCAGTGCCACCAGTAGCACTACTGTGACCACCACTCGCAGCAGCACCAGCGCCACCAGCACTTCCACTCTTAGCAGCACCAGCGCCACCAGCAGCACCACTGTGACCAGCACGTCGAGGAGCAGCACGACAGGGACCAGCACATCCACGCTGTTCAGTACGACCGAGACCAGTACCGCGTCGCAGACGACCACAAGTGAAACAAGCAGCACGACGAGGACCACGTCGACGAGCAGCGCGACGGGGACCAGCACCTCCACGCTGAGCAGTACGACCGAGACCAGTACCACGTCGCAGACGACCACAAGCGAAACAAGCAGCACGACGAGCACCACGTCGACGAGCAGCGCGACGGGGACCAGCACCTCCACGCTGAGCAGTACGACTGAGACCAGCACCACGTCCTTGACCAGCACGTCGGTGAGCAGCACAACCCGCAGCAGCACCACTCGCAGCAGCACCACTCGCAGCAGCACCAGCGCCACCAGCAGCATGACTCTGACAACCACGTCGGGAACTAGCAGCACCACTCTTAGCAGCACCAGCGCCACCAGCAGCACTACTGTCACCACCACGCGCAGCAGCACCAGCGCCACCAGCACCTCCACTCGCAGCAGCACCAGCGCCACCAGCAGCACCACTATGACCAGCACGTCGGTAAGCAGCACAACCCGCAGCAGCACCACTGCTAGCAGCACCACTCGCAGCAGCACCAGCGCCACCAGCAGCATGACTCTGACAACCACGTCGGGAACTAGCAGCACCACTGGCAGCAGCACCAGTGCCACCAGTAGCACTACTGTGACCACCACTCGCAGCAGCACCAGCGCCACCAGCACCTCCACTCGCAGCAGCACCAGCGCCACCAGCAGCACCACTATGACCAGCACGTCGGTAAGCAGCACAACCCGCAGCAGCACCACTGCTAGCAGCACCACTCGCAGCAGCACCAGCGCCACCAGCAGCATGACTCTGACAACCACGTCGGGAACTAGCAGCACCACTGGCAGCAGCACCAGTGCCACCAGTAGCACTACTGTGACCACCACTCGCAGCAGCACCAGCGCCACCAGCACCTCCACTCGCAGCAGCACCAGCTCCACCAGCAGCACCACTATGACCAGCACGTCGGTAAGCAGCACAACCCGCAGCAGCACCACTGCTAGCAGCACCACTGGCAGCAGTACCAGCGCCACCAGCAGCATGACTCTGACAGCCACGTCGGGAACTAGCAGCACCACTGGCAGCAGCACCAGCGCCACCAGTAGCTCTACTGTTACCTCCACTCGCAGCAGCACCAGCGCCACCAGCACTTCCACTCGCAGCAGCACCAGCGCCACCAGCAGCACTACTGTGACCAGCACGTCGGTAAGCAGCACAACCCGCAGCAGCACCACTGCTAGCAGCACCACTGGCAGCAGTACCAGCGACACCAGCAGCACCACTGTCACCACCACAGCAACGAGCTCTACGGAAGCTCGTCCGCTGGCGCCCGTGACCGTTTCGGGCGCCCTCAGTGTGTCTGGCATCGACTACGCAGTCCTCGTTGGAAACGAGACGCTCCGTGCAGAATTTGAGCAGGTTGTGAAGCAGGGCGTCGCGCAGGAGGCCGGGAACGGCGTCACCGCCGACGACGTCGACGTGACGCTCTCTGCGGGCAGCGTGGTCGTGGAGTTCACGGTGCGGGTCCCGAACAGCGCCAGCACAGGCGCGGTGGCAACCATGTTGGCCAGCAGCCCCCTGGCAAGCACGGTGGTCAGCTTGATCAAGGAGAGCGAGGTGGCAGCCGTCGCTTCCACAGGCGACATCGGCGTTATCTTCACCGGTGTCGATGGTGCGCCCGTGACCACCACTGCTGCGCCCCCAGAGGCAGCCTACCCGGACGGCATCTCCGACTCCCTGATCGTGGTCTTCGTGTCATTCGGAGTGTTGATCCCCGTTGGAGGGGTCACCTCGGCCGCGGTCCTGGCTCATCGGAGGGGGTATCGGAGGGGCTATGACGTTGCGGCGCTCGAGCATAAGAGCGAGCAGGCCGAGGGAGCCCGGGCCACTGGAGCGGCTGGGCCACGTGATGGCATGGGCGGAAAACCGCAGCCGATCGACAGCGTGTACGACGGAGAGCTGCGGCAGCCGCGCGTGCAGTTGGTGCCGGCTCTCCACGCCGCCAACAGCACCCGCGCCGCCAGCGAGATCGTGTTGGAGTTCGGGTCCAGCGGCGGCCCGCCCATCCGCTGGCGCTACCGCCTCGAGGGCGGCCCTCACGACCCGCAGCCCAGCTCGCCCTTGGCGGGCCTCGCCGACGCCGGCGTCAGCCCTGGGCAACACGCCTCGGGCGCGGCCGCGGGTAGCGCCCCCAGGGCCGGCGCGGCGCAGGCCATCGAGGACGAGGGCGCCGCCGAGGGGGAGTCCTTGTGCGGGCAGCTGCGGGCGGCCACGGCGCAGCGGGGGGACGCCGTGCGGGAGGGGCGGTGGCGGGTGCAGGAGGCGGGGGGCTCGCTCCAGCAGATGGCAACCAAGCTCGACGCGCACGTCGACGGCCTGGAGGCGGCCATGAACGCCCGGAGGGAGCTGCTGGCCAGGCTCGGCCGCGCGCAGAGCTCGCAGGCAGAGGCGGCCGCCGCGGACGCGGAGGCGGAGCGCGGGCCTCGCGCCGAGGAGGCGGCGCCCACCGGGGCCGCCGAGCCCGCCGGTGGCGACGCGTTGGTTGCGCCGGCCGCCTTCTGGGATGCCGCAGCGGAGGAGATGGAGCGCGGGCCTCGCGCCGAGGAGGCGGCGCCCACCGGGGCCGCCGAGCCCGCCGGTGGCGACGCGTTGGTAGTGCCGGCCGCCTTCTGGGATGCCGCAGCGGAGGAGATGGAGCAGGGCGCTGGCGCGTCCGAGCCCGCCAATGACGTTGATTTGCCTGCGCCAGCCGCCTTCTGGGAGGCCGCGGCGGAGGACATGGAGGTCGCGGAGTCGCAGCCCTCCCTTGCTGCCGTGGACGGGCCGCGCGCGGGAGAAGTCGCCGCCGCCGCCGCCACGGCGGCGGAGCCGGAGCAAAGGCACGGGCCCGACGCTGCCGCCGCTCCGCAGGCGCTGCGGCGGCGGAACAGCGGCCAGAGCCGTGGGAGGCGGGCAGCCTAGAAGCATGCGTGAGCGGCCCAGGCTGCGACAGCTTCTCGGCAGCGAGGGCGTCGAGGTCTGCCTGACCTTTGACCTGCCCTTGGCGGCCCCCCCCTTGCCGTGCTCCAAGGCGTGAGCAGGCGGCCATGCGGCACTGCTGGGCGGCCTTGGCGGCATCCTGGGCCAGGGTCACCCTTCGCGCTCCGCGTGTCCCAGCTGAGCCCATCCAAGAGCGGTGCGGGCTGCCCCGAATCAGGGATGCTGATCGCGTGCCCGCAGACGGGGGGAATTGTGTCCCAAGGTGGGCGTCAATGAGAGTGGTGGATAATATGTTATCCGTATTGGGAGGCATGCGCAATGTTGTTGTTGTTGATTCTCCCGCCTCCAGGCTCCATGGTCCCGCTCGTTGTTGTTTGAAGTTTGCTTGCGCGCTTGCTCACGGCGACTCGTACTTTGCCATGGTGTCACTCGAGTGACCGCCTCTTACTCATGAAAGGAGACCTTAGTAATACGTTCGCTACGGTCTCAACCACAGATCTACTTGAGAACTACGCCCCCTTCTCGCACAGACGACTCGCAAGGTGCCCCGAGAAGCCTGCGCACCTTCTCTCCGAAAGACTGCCGCTCTCCCTGCTGGGGCAGCAGGTCGCTGCTGCAGTCCGAGCGCGGCCTCGAAGTGTGCCCGAATTTGTTTGCGTGCAGGGGCACAGCTCGCGGCTGCGCTTGGGATGCAGCACAGGAGCTGGTTGGTTTTTCCATGTCGGACGAGGAGAATACGTGCTTTTTGTTGGCCACTTGCGGAGCCTCTTCTTCGGTGCTTGCCAGGGAGGAGCTCGCCGATTTTCCCCGCAGGTCCTTGGCCGAATAGCTTCCGTCGCAGACTCGAGGGAGTTCTGCTATTGATTGTTCCCTTGAGAGAGCTGGCGCAGTGCGCCCCTGAAAAAAGTGCTGACGCTCTGACGCTTTTGACGCTCCTGACGCTCTTGACGCTCTGTTGCTCCTGACGCTCCTGACTCTCCAGGCGTCAGAGCGTCAGGAGCGTCAGGGGAATCAGGGGCGTCAGGGGCGTCAGGATCGTCAGGGAGCGTCAGGAGCGTCAAGAGCGTCAGGAGCGTCAGGGGCGTCAGGAGCGTCAGGCGCGTCAGGAGCGTCAGGGAGCGTCAGGGAGCGTCGGGGGCGCCGGGGGGCGTAAGGAGCGTCAGGAGCATCAGAGCGTCAGGGGCGTCAGGAGCGTCAGGAGCGTCAGGGGCGTCAGGAGCGTCAGAGCGTCAGGAGCGTCAAGGGCGTCAGGGGCGTCCACCACTCCGGCGCCGCCGCTCGAGACGTCCTCACACTTCTGGCGCCGCCGCTCGAGACATCCTCACAATTCCGGCGCCGCCGCTCGAGACATCCTCACAACTCCGGCGCCGCCGCTCGAAACATCCTCACAATTTCGGCGCCGCCGCTCGAGACATCCTCACAACTCCGGCGCCGCCGCTCGAGACATCCTCACAATTTCAGCGCCGCCGCTCGAGCGTCAGGAGCATCAGGAGCGTCAGAGCGTCAGGAGCGTCAAGAGCGTCAGGAGCGTCGGGGGCGTCCACAACTCCAGCGCCGCCGCTCGAGACATCCTCACAACTCCAGCGTCGGGGGCGCCGGGGGGGCGTAAGGAGCGTCAGGAGCATCAGAGCGTCAGGAGCGTCAGGGGCGTCAGGAGCGTCAGGAACGTCAGGGGCGTCAGGAGCGTCAGAGCGTCAGGAGCGTCAAGGGCGTCAGGGGCGTCCACCACTCCGGCGCCGCCGCTCGAGACACCCTCACAACTCCGGCGCCGCCGCTGGAAACATCCTCACAACTCCAGCGCCGCCGCTCGAGAGACATCCTCACAACTCCGGCGCCGCCGCTCGAGCGTCAGGAGCGTCAAGGACGTCAGGAGCGTCAGGGGCGTCAGGAGCGTCAGGAGCGTCAGAGCGTCAGGAGCGTCAGAGCGTCAGAGCGTCAGGAGCGTCAGGGGCGTCAGGGGCGTCCACAACTCTGGCGCTGCCGTTCGAGACATCCTCGCAACTCCGGCGCCGCCGCTCGAGTCATCCTCACAACCCCAGCGCCGCCGCTCGAAACGTTCTCACAACTCGGGCGCCGCCGCTCGAGACATCCTCACAACTCCGGCGCCACCGCTCGAGAGAGATGGGGGGATGGAGGGAGCTGGATGGAAGGAGTGAGGAGGAGAAGAAGGGGGATTGGGGAGGAGGACGAAGGGTAAGAAACGGATGGGGACACTTTTAGCCCAGACTCTCGCTCGACACATTTGGCAAGTTAATTGTGACGCGACTTGTATCAGAGCAGGTCGTGGGGATGTCCCGTACGACCCGCTCGATTGGCATCCCCGACTCCTCTGCATTCAGAGCACCGTTCGGGGGCCCTCGTCGTTACGGCTGGATTCGCTTTTAGTTTACACCACATAGCTTTACCCCGGTGGACATAGCTTACACCACGGTGGGCGCGGCCCTTGGCGGGCAATATCCGGTCCTATTGGCTGACATCGGGTGCTATTTACTGCTGACGGCTCCCGGCGGCTACACTCGGATGATATGCGAGACTGCAAGCTCACATCAGAACTACCCGAATGTTAAACCCAAGGTGAAGAGGGGGCAGAAATAAGGAGCATCCTCACCTATCCTCATCTTCTTCCTCCGGTTTTCCTGCTCACGCCATTCCCTATCCCGTTACTCATTCTTCTCATGCTGGTTTACGTGTTCCACCTAGCCCTCCTCGTCCTTTCCCCTGCTGCTTTTCATCATCGCCCTTTTCGGATATTCCTCCTCGTGCTGCTCCTCGTCCTCACCTCCTCGGTATAATTATCCTCGTCCTTCCCTCCTCTTGCTTCTCATGCTGTCTTCCGCATCTCTTCACACCTCTATCGTTTTACTCGTGTTGCTCTTTTCCCTTTGTCTCCTACTTGTCCTCCTCTCTGAAGCGGTGGCTCAAGAGGAATCGCTCTCGGTGCGAGGGCGCTGCAGATTGTCCGCGTTACACCACGTGCCGTGCCGAGGACGGACGGCCCGCATGTTCAGAGCACGGCGGGGTGTCAGGACGGGGCCGATGGGACCGCCAGGCTGAGGCCCCAGCGTCTGCCCCCCGAGCGTCTCCACCAGAACCAACAGGTCCGCCAGCGGGCGTGGAAACCACGTCGGATTTGGATTGTTCCGATGTTGACAGCGAGCAAGACCAGGAACATGATGAGGACACCCGGGAACCTACGTCATGGACGGGCATATACTACCAAGGAGACGGCGGCGAGAAGTATTTGGCAGGAGCGGACGTGATGTCCGAAGACCTTAGCAGCGCTTTTGACCAGATCGCTGTCCGCATGGGCTTCACCAACAAGCCTTTGTTCCGCGCGTTATTATACTTCTACTGCCTGCCAGCCGTGGTCCAGCCGGACGTGTTGGCCCCAAAGGAAGCCCGGGATCGCGTGGAGTTTGGGCTAGAGTACGCCCCGTCGCTGCATCGAGTTACTGAGTCGCACGCGCCCTTGTTGGGTAGGCAGCCTCGCCTGGACGCGGCGCTCAGGTCGCGCGCGCGTTTTGCGGTCAGCATCTATCGACGCATTTTCCGTTCGGCGCCGGCGACTGGGGCTCGCTTGGCTGCGCGGCCGGCGTGCGATTGCACGCTTCGATGCACGGGGACTGCCAAATTCATCGAGGATACGGCGACGCGGGATCCCGGCGCTGCTCTTCGGCATTTTTGCGACGGTGTCACACCGGGCACGAGCGAGGCGGTTGCTGATGTTCTCCGCGCCTTTGCCTTCAGCAAACTGCATCTGATGTCGTCTGTCTCTGGGTGGTTCGACGGGCGCGACGGCAGGCGGCGCAGGTACCCACGCAGCGTCGGTCTTTCGATTGTTTGCACTTCCTGGATCATGGGCCACCTGTTGCGCGCTCTGCCGAGATGGACAACTTCCTGCCTCGTCATCGCGGGCCGGCTGAGCAGTTTAATCAGAGTCGCGAAGATGGCGCGGGCTGGCGAGGACGACCCCGGGCTGGTGAAAGGAAGCGTTCAGGCTCAGTTTGCTCGCGCTGGACTTACTGGGCCGCCCCGCCGCGTCACCGTCGCTGCCGTTTGCGCCCAGGGTGCACTGCTTCCCGCTGAAGTTCACGCTCTCGGACGTCTTATTGTTAGTCGGGCGCGCCGCGCGCAGCCGCGCGGGCAGGCCCGCCGACGACGGCGACGACGGCCGCATCAGGGGGCGAAACCCGCCGGTGAGATGCCGCTGCCCCGAATGCGCGCTTCTCTTCCGCATCCGGTGCGAGTGCATCTTGGCGGGGCCAGCCCCGCGGGCGTTCCTCGCCGCGGCCCAGGGCATGCCCGACG